TGGTCCTTCCCTGCCGCGTTCTGGACTTTAGGGACCTTCCTTTTCTTGCTCTCCCCTGCAATTAAAACCGCGTGACCTGCCCGATGGTTATGTCCCTGTGGTTTGTTGAGCACTTTCTTGGATGGATGTCTGAGTTCCCGGGGTCCTGGGAGACACCTCCCTTCCTGTAGGTGGTCCTGTCAGTGACCCTCCTCCTGTCTGTCCTGCTTTGAGTGCCAGCCCACATGGGTCTGAGTTTCTCACAGACCGTCATGCAAGCAGCACATGCTTGCTTCACTTCCTTTGTTCTGTCCTCCATAAAGGTGCGTGTTGAGACCCCTTCTTGCTGCAGAAGCGTATCCCTTCAGCCAGTTTGAGACGGAGACACCACCCAGAGGATTCGATGTTCATGGAACTGCCGCGACCTATCTGTTGGGTTTTCACCAACTGGTTTTCGGTAGATTTCCAGGCCTTTCTTCCTAGTCTATCTTAATCTGGCCCAAACCTGTTCAGCATCATAGCAACACACAGCCTCCATGGATGCAGAGGGCTGATGGCTGCACAGGAGCTATATTAGCCAAGAATTGAGTTTCCTGCCCGCATGGAGAGAGTTCGTTCCGTGACACACCAGGCCCCCAGGTGATAAGTAGACTGGCTCCCTATACTGCACATCATGAAAATGAACCCTGTTTGTAGTCCTGCTCAAGTACACATTCTCGGGAAAGCATGTCAGCCAAACAATCAGCCACCAAAGATCACCATCTGAATTTAAATTCAAAGACTCCAGTGCGAGTGGGGTTTCCACACGTTGGTCCTGTTTCCATGCGCAAGAGCAGCCGTCCTGGGAGGGTTTCTTTTTCCAGCCCTTTGCCTGTCAGAGCACCTAGCGATTTCCTGTGCTAGAAGTATCCTTTAGGAAAATGAATGTTGATAATGAGAGGACAGGAAACGCACACACACACACACACACACACACACACACACACACACACACACCTGCCCCTACCAAACACAGCAGAGAGGAAAACAAACCCAGTAAGGGTTTCTCAAAGTGAGCCTGCTGGACGTGTTACACTTGCCGTGGCATGTTCGTCTTGTCTCCCTGTGATGGCTGCCTTTGTATTGGGCATTCCCAAGGCTCCGAGGTGATCATGCATGCCAGTTGTGTGAAATGAGTGCAACTGACAGGATTTAAAGGCTAAGACTAACCTTTCTAATCCATCTAGTCCCCATTCTCTGCCTTAGGCCATGCCTCTCCTGCCAGGAAATACTGTATCCTTGTTCCTGTGATGGGAGCGGCCTTAATTTCCCGAATGTCAGTCAAAGCGTCCCTCCTGGAGGAGCTGGACACATTCACGTCTCTGCTGCTGTGGAGATGCGAGAGGGGCTGTGGAGCGTGTTCACAAGGAGCATAAACATTTGCTTAACTTTTTCACTTCTTGACTTCACTAGTTCAGAAAGAGAGTCCTTTTCCTTTTTCCTGCTATGTTAAATTAATAAACAATTAATTCTGAATTATAAATACGTGTGTGTGATGCTGTTGTCAGTTGCCAGTGGGTGAGCTCCTCACATGTAACAGGGTGAGACGTTGCCTGGTTCGGCAACACCCCCCCACACCCCACACCCTGCCCCTGCCAGTGGTGTTGGTGCATCTGAGCCTTTTGTGGTTATTCTGTCATGCCACATCATGGAGGATCATCGACGATTCTAGCCTATCAATTCCTGTATTAAATAAGGTCATCAGTATTGAATGCCTCCGATACAACATAGAGTTCCTGCTCTTCCTGAACTTGGGTCCTAGTGCATGGAGAAACAGAAAATAAGCAAGGAATTATATGCCAAGAGGCGGTAAGGGCACTGGAGAAGAAGGAAGCAGAGTAAAGTGATAGGGGCTGAGGGCTTGCATGAGCAGGGCACTGTTTGCGTGGGTACAGCTTTCAGGCCTCTCGGGATAGATGGCATTTGAACAAAGGCCTGAAGGCTGTGAGGGCACAAACAACACTGGTATCTTGAGAAAGAGCAATCCAGGCTGACACAAACAGCTTGTTGTAAGGACTCGGATATTTAAGCTACAGCAAGAAACCCTGCTGCAGTGATTTGCAAGGTAAGCAGGCACCTTTCAGGACCTAGTTTACTGGATGTCCGTCAAATCTTCCATCTGTGAGGAGCTGGAGATGTTCAAGACGCTCCTTCTGTAGAGATAGGAAAGGAGCTGTAATGTTTTGAATGAGTAAAACGTCGATGTTTTTGTCATATTTGCTTAATATTTTCACTTCTTTGCTTCACCGGTAAAATGTAGGGTGTAGCAACGACTTTGGCTTTGATTATCAGTGGGATGGAACATCATTGGAGAGTTTGAATAAAAGAGCGATTTGATTTGATTCGTGTTTTTGAAGGACCAGTCAGACTGCTGCTGTTGAAAGAGGGCCAAAGAGAAATGACTGGTTAGAAGGCGGTTACAGTAAGTCTCGGAAGATAGAATGCAATGTACGAGAATGAGGGGAGTGGTGAGCAGTGGTTGGATTCTGGAGCTGTTTTGAAGAATCAGCTACAGGGTCTGAGGGAACCAAGAGGAGTCAAGGATGGCTCTTAGTTTTTAATCGGGTTCATGGATAGAACAGAGCTATTGGGTGTTGACGTGATAGAATTGGTACAGGAGCACAATTGGTTGGTGGAAAGGATCTAGAGCAGTGGTTCTCAACCTGTGGGTCGAGACCTGTTTGGGGGTCGAACGACCCTTTCCCAGGGGTCGCCCAATTCCTAACAGTATCAAAATGACAGTTATGAAGTAGCAACGAAAATAATTTTATGTTTGGGGGCCACCACCACATGAGGAACTGTATTAAAGGGTCACGGCATGAGGAAGGTTGAGAACTGCTGCTTTAGAGATTCCGACGGAGCATGTGCTGCTTGAGGTGCCCACTAGACATCCAAGAGGGAATCGTGAGGAGGCAGTGGAAGATAAGAACCTGGGGCTCGGGGTGAGAAGGAACCCAAGTGTCACCAGTGTCTAAAGTCATCTTCAACCCTGGGATTGCATGAGGCCATCCATGGAGGGCACATAGAGAGAGCCGCGACGACGAGGTCTGAGAACTGGGACTCTCCACAGCTAAGCGGTGGGGCTGGAGGTGGAGGCTGAGGGGCAAGAGAAGGAGACAGAAATTCTGCAGGAAGTGTTGTCCCAGAAGCAGCAAACAAAATTGTTTCATGAAGAAGAGCTTAATCAACTTCGGTAATTTCCAAGGGGTTGTTAAGAATAAATATTGAGAAATGGCCATTGGGTTTTGGAAACAAGCGGGTCACTAGTGAAATAGAGATGAGCATTTGTTCATGAAAGGGCAGGAACCAAGCAGCAGAGTGTCTTCCAGAAAGTCCGGAGTCTAGCAGATGAAGGTGATGTGTCTGGGTGGCTTTATGGTGTTTTTGGTGGAGGGAGTGACGGGGTCAGGATGAGATTTCTATCTCTTGACATGAGGACTTTAACTGCCTATTGGTATGTTGACCAGAAAGAACCCAGAGAGAAAGGAAAAATGGTGATTGGGGATACAACCTCAGAGAGAAGTTGGGATCTTAGTGTACAAGTGGAGTCCTGGGGAAAGCCTTTGTCAGACCATGCATTGAGAGGGAGGCGAGAGGGAGAGCTTGGAAGTTTGAAGCAAAAGGGGAACAGGAAAAGTCGAGCAAGGTAAGTCAGTGGCTCTTACACTTCCCTGTGCTTCTGAACCACCTGGAAGACTTGTGGAACACCAAGTGCGCGCCCAATCCTGGTGTTACAAGTCAGTAGGTCTGGTGAGAGCGTCGGGAATTTTCACTTTGCTTCCGTTTCCAGGTTATGCTGCTACTTTTGGTTCAGCGACCACACTTTGGGGATCGCTGGACTTCGGGAGTAGGTAGGGGTACCATGAAAGGCCTCCTATGCATGGCAATCAGGCATGTAGCGTGAATGTTGCCAACATGGTGGTGTGTTTTTTCCACACATGACCAGTAGCTCAAAAGCTGTCAAAAGTTGGCAGATAATTCTACTTCACCAAAAACATTAGAAATCAATGTCACTAAGATAAGTAGGAGGTTTTGTTTGCCTTTATTTAAAATAAAGGAGTAGAGGGCCTGAGATAGGAAAAAAAAAAATGTTTGTGGGAAAATCACACCCCGGTAGGATTTAAACGTTTTCGGGGTTTTGGTTTTTTGTTTTGAACTTTTGCCCTAAAAGACCTCTCTGGTCTCACATTGCAAAGAGAAACTAAACCCCAATCCAGACCACTGCCCTCCAGTCAGTCCCAGCTCCTGGGAACCGGAGAGGACAGACTGGAACGGCCCCTGTGGACCTGGGAGCCTCTAGGTCTTCACAGGGGAAAGCCTCCCCTTCCTCCCAAGGACTGGCTGGTGGTTTCAAACTCCTGACCTTGCCATTTGTAGCCTCCTGCTTAACCGCTCTTACTATCTGGGCTCCTGTGAAGAGATATAGAAACCCCGTTTCCCATGTACTACCCGCGAACGGTGTCATCTGTGTGAGCTACCGAAGAGCAGAGCTACCAGGATGGACTTTGAAAAAGGAAGATGTGGTTTTATATTTTATAAGATTACATCGCATCCCAGGTTGTGATGTAAGATTGAAGCTGCTTGCCAAAATAACTACACTGAATTTTCAGGCTGAAAATGTTTGTCTTGTTCTTTGAAAATGCTCGTATCGCTACATCACAGGCTCAGTGCAGAGTTGTACGCGCAGGAAAAAAGACTTAGGCAACCAAGGGAGGAGACAACTCACGTGCTAGTGTGAGCATTCGACTCATCAATCTGAAGAGAAAGCAAAGGCCCGACTTCTATTTGCAGGGGCAGTGTTGGTTCAAATAGCATATGCTCTACAGAAATTTAAGTATAGTGCCGAGTAGCTTTAAGTTGGAATCGACTCAATAGCAGTGGGTTTGGTGTATTGCAATGTATACATTAAGCAGCATTATCCTAATCCTTTGTGTAACTGATGGTGTTCTTTCCATTTCTTTTAAAAACAAACCAACCAACAGATTTTGTTGGAGCCAGGCGTGATCCAGGATGTGTTAGCTGCTGGCAGTCACCTACAATTGTTGGAGCTTCTCAACTTATGTTCCCACTATCTAGTCCAGGTATGTGAGTCTGAGTATTGCTAACGTACCCCCACCCCCACACTCCAGAAGGAGCCCGGTCATTGGGGAAATGCCAGCCTCGCACATTTGGAGAAGCTGTCGTCTGTGCTGGGTCCATTTCTCCAGTACACAAGCCGAGAAACAAAAGGGCAGCTGCAGCTCTTGTGTCCTGTCCTGAAGTGCGCATTTCCTCGTCCTCCCTGCCCATCCCAAGTCCCCAGGACTGTGGAGCAGGTCCTAAGGTGGCGGCACTGACAAGGGTTCTGAGCAGTTTTTCTCGCTGGAGAAATAAGCACAAAAGCAGGAGACATTGGGTCCTCATATAAGATCTACATCACAGTAGCAAAGATAAGTCAACGTCCTATATAATTAGTTACAGCATGAATTTCTCTAGTCGTGAATGCTGGAGAAGTGATGAATGCTTTGCTGAGATTTTCAGACAAGGCTTCTGTGGGGACAAGAGAAGAAATTCCCATACACTGAGCATCTACTGAACACCCTATGAACAGATAGATGGACCACAGCCAACCCTCACAACTGGGTCTATTTTTCTAGATGAAAACTCAAAGGCTCAAAATGCACCCAGCTCTTCTGAAGTGTATAACTGATGAGTGACATGCTTTCTGATTTTGGGTATCCCCTCAAAACACACCAAAAAAGTTGGACAGGAAGACATGGACCTCTTCGATATTGTTCTCGTATTCTGTGTTAATCCAGAGCCACCTTCTAGATAGAGCTCAGCTGCTCCTCAGGGTTTCTGTATAGGATCAAGCAGTCTCACCTTTCTCCCACAAATTACTGACTTTTTGGTGAACAGCCAAGAGAGCTTAGTCTATTTCCGGCAGAACGCTGGTCGTTTAGAACTGCTGACCATGCGGTTAACAGCTCAACATGTGACCACTATGCCTTGGTGAGCTCCTTTTCATTCACAGGACCCTACAGGACCGCAGAACGTCTCCATAGGGGTCCTGAGACTGTAAATCTTTAAAGCATTGTCACCCGGTACAAATAAATGGGGCAAAGCTAAGACGTTCACACAATGTCATGTTAGTCTCATGTCTGTGGCATTACATTCGTGAGTAAAAATCATCCTGTTTGTTTACCTGCCCGATGACTTTGTTTTCCTTCGAAACCATTTCCTCTAATTCATCAACATGCCCTGCAGCATTGGCTTCTGTTGCCCACACCCTCTCAACTAGGTGTCTCTTTCTCATTGGTCATCATCTTACTTCATCTTCCCAGCAGCCCTCAGAAACGGGGATCCAGGGCTTCCCCACGCTGCAGTGGCAGGAACGTCACCACGACCATCTGAATAGCCATTCAAATACAGTATATGAAATTTGTTATCGTTACCTCAGCACATTTCATCTACAAGTAAAAATGGGTAGCTCTGTTTGTCTTAATTTCCTTGCTTTTCCCCTCAATATTGTTGGGTGGCATGGGAAAGCTGTCTTTAATCCTTTTCTGTAGGTAGCAGCTGGGAATAGCATAGAAAGGTTGTAAGACCGCAAGGTGTGTGTTTGACGTGTGAAATTGAAATTACTTTTGACATTTATTTCTGCCTCTAATATTACAGCTTGAGTTTAAAGCACCATCCCCTGATTCTCTTTTTCCATCTGTGGAAGACAATAATCTGTGATAGATATTGACAAAAGTTTGTTTGTAGTGCTAATTACTAGGATGCATCATATACATGGTGTGTGTGTGCGCGCGTGCATCAACCCTCTGTCTTCCATGACACGCCCCACTTTTTCATCCGGGTTCTACAATTCATTGCAATTGCCACTCAGAATTCCCAGACGATGCTCACGATTAAGGGATTTATCATGGAAACTAACAGGTTACAACTCACATGGAAATGCTCTGAATACAGTTGTCCAGTCAGGATGTTACAAAGTTCATATCGGGCTCCTCATAAATGCCCAAAGGCTAGAAGCCTGAACCCAAAGGGACCGAGCTCAGCTCTGTGGGTCAGAGATCCACGCTTCCCCAACTAAGTGCCCTGAGGCAGCCCACTGCACTCAGCCTTACCCAGAAGGCACTTGGCTCCACTTTCAAGGGTCAGCCAACCTAGCACTCTGAATTAAATGCCCAGAGGCGTCCAGTGCCACAAGGCAGCCTCCACCCCAAAGCAGCTTGACTTGCTCTGTGAGCTGGTAAGTCCACCACTGTGTCTCATGTTCTGGTTCCTCGTTCTGCCTCTGTTACTGCGCTGGTGTCAAAGCTACCTTCCCGGATCAAGAGGTTCAATGCACAGGGGTCTTGGGTTCCAGAGGACATGTTCCACTCCTGGCTCATGCTGATAGGGGGATATCCCCTCCTGCTGTTGCGATGCAGTCAGATGGCAATCACAGTCACGCCTGTTAGTAAGCCCTCATACTGAATCCTCTCAGTATCTTCCCCCTCCCAGACCCGTCATGAAAAAGTGAGTTACTGTGTGAGCCTATGATGAGAAGAAATATACAGGTCATTCACTATATTACACTACCTATACCTATGATTTTCTACAAGTAAGAATTCTAGATTCTAAAATCAAAGTCCATGGGCACGTTCCCTGACCCAGTAAGATGAAATTGTTGAGACCCCAGACAACTTGTGCACTGGGGAATTTCCTTCTCGTAGTCTGTGACTGTTGCTGAAGCCAGGCTGCCCCTTGGATGCAAGTATGGTTGGTGGCTGGTTGAGCAGGGATTGAAATGTTCACTTTGTTTTCACCTGCGTGTTCTCATTTACGGCGCTTTTCTTTGTCATTTGTGATTGTTGCAAGATGTCCAACTTGTCAAAGGAAGCTTTGACTAGACAAGTACCCAAACCATGTAGGAGTTTTTATGACTTCAGACTTAAAAAAAAATACATTCTCTGCCTTTCTCTCAGGATCATAAACTCCCCAGACCGGGGAAGTCTGCTTTAACATTTTGACATATTAACTAACATGTTGCAGTACTATTGATTTTTTATTTGATATTGGACCTTTTTGGTGATAGGGGGGAAAAAATCTTCGGTGCTTAATGTGTGTGCCCCATCACTGAAGGCTCATCTATTCTCTGGCCTTGTTTGACACATTTGCTAACTGGGAGTTTCTGAAACCATTCCCCTCACGGGTTGTCTGGTATTAGTTTGATCTTCTGGAATTCCCTTGGTTTCCTACCAGAGTCGGAAGGGTACCAGATCCATTTGCTGTTAGGTAGATTCCAACTCCTGGCCACCCCACTTGTGGAAGTCAACCTGTGGACCACAGTGTGTCAGGGCCTGGTGTCTCAGAAGTAGATCATCAGGTGGTTCTGCTGGGGTGCCTCTCAGTAGTCCCAAACCTCTTCCTTTTTTTTTTTCCCCTTTCCCGGAGCAGCTGATCATGTTAACTACGTGCACCACTGGCCAGTCTTTCAATATTGGCTCATTTATAAAGTGTGTATAAGAAACACACTCAGTGAGGCTCCTCTGGACACATGTGACTGCTTGCCAGCAGGCTTCATATGGTACCCCCTGAAAGCAATACCTTAAGAATTGCATCGTTGAAATGGCTTTTTAAAAACTGATGTAGCTTAATACGCACAGTTTATACCATTTTGTACTACATCTCCAAAATAGTAGATGTTGCTCGATGAATGAGTGTTCTTTCTGTTCTCCAAGTATCAGTCTTTATTATGATAAAGAAAATAAACAAACATTATGGTAGACTTTTAAAACATAAAACCGGCAACGTGGTGAATGCATCCACTTTCTTTAATCGGAAGAGACTGCTAGAATCTATTCCTAGGCAGCAGGTGGCAGTGTGAATCCACCAGAATTCAGCAGTTCAAGTCAAGGAAAAATAAGGGAGGGTGGGGGGGGCCTTGAAAAGAAAAAATTATTTATTTTGCTCCATATTAGTCTTCTGACCTAATCAGTAAAAAAGTCATTATTCACACCACACTGGGCAATGTGCATTGTAATTTTTAACAAATAATAGGAAACTGTTAATGTGCTCACAGGAAATGCAGTTTTGTCTTGGGCTGCTATGGTCATTTATCATCACACTTTGTGAAATCACTCATTTGTTCTAATTTGAATGTAAATGACTCTAAGGTTTTACAAATAAGGTGACAGACTCACATAAATGTAATTGCAGGGTTCATCTCCCTCTTTTTATATATCACTCATTAGGTTATGAATTAAATACATCATATTAAACCAGGGGCATGTCCAATGATGATATTGTAATGGCAAATTACTCGATGCTATTAGAGGTGTATTTTTTATTCATGGACATTAATTTGTCATTAAGCGGCATTAGTTTAGCACTTTTATGGGAAAGACGTGACCTGAAAGGGGAGACGGGCTGCCGTGACGTGAGCAAAGAGGAACACGGGTGCGGCAAACAGAAGGACGGGCCGGGGGGCGAGGTGCGTTTGAGTTTCTAGATCATTAGTATCATTCGTTTTGTTTCCTGCTTTTACAAGCAGGCAAGAGCCCTCCCCCAGGTCGCCGGCCCTGGGCGTTTACCTGTGCACATCCCGGTGACCCGTGACCGAGCAACTCCAGGCCAGCCGCAGGCGGTCACTGTTAATCCTGCAGACCCGGAGATCGTCCTGGGCGCTGGCGGGGCAGGAAGGAGGGTGGACTCGGTGTCCGGCCCTGAATCTCCCTGTGACGGATGCTTAGGCGTCATCCCTGCTCTCCAGTTAGGGTTACACTCGCCGGGGTGCGTGAGGGGGTGGGGGAATTCCTCATGCTCCCTCTCCAGGGAAGGTACAAAGGTGGAAGAATGGTATTCTCTCGTGAGGGTATTAGGAAGAATTTGGGTCATTTTAGTCTTTTAAAGTGAACGAAAAAACATTTTTTGGCATAAACAGCAGTTTGGCTGTTGTTTTATTAAAAAGGTATGGCCCCCCTCGTCCCAGCCTTTTTCAACTTGGACACACACTTGAGCATTGAAAGGGCTTCACAGACGCTGAAAGAACCACGTGTTGCTCTTGCATTATCTTCTGCCTGGTTGTAGGTGGTTCTCAGAATGTCTTTGA